CCGGAGGAATATGACATCCTAACCGCTCATATTTTCAAGATAGATTTTAGACAAACATGTGTCGCTAGACACTGTGCGGCTCCTCGATTCGCTCACTTTATATAGCATCAAAACTAGCAACACAATTTGGTAATTGTTTTCTGATGCTTTGCAAATACACATTTTTCACAAAAATCACCAAATACTACTTAGGAGGAAAGGGAAGGGTCACCATACAAAACACGATGTACTTGGGAATAGTCGCTATTATGATTCATCAAATATCTTGCCTTGCGCCCGATTGGTCTAAACACATCACGTGATCGAATAATCTCCAACTAAAACATCCAAGCAATATCCCCCAATTTTCAAACTTACTTCGCTACGGTAAGTCTTCGTTTCGTATTAAATTGGAGACGAGAGAGGGTTTTGTGGTTGTCAGAGAAGAAAGAACTTTTTTTTGTTCATTAAGTCGTACTAGAGAACACTCAAAAGAAAACGTCCCACACTTCATACAGTAAGCTGTTCATAAAATTTTTTCCACGCTCTTTGCAAAATATTGAAGGATAATAAACACAATAGCCTCTATTATGCGCCAAAATATGCACTTTTGTTTCTCCTTGGACATTATCTGTTCCTCGAAGTTTACAATTTTCCTCGAATTTCGCTCTCGGAAAACTGTTCGTCCGCGGACAAATATCCGCGCATATTTTTGCACCGAATAGAGGCTACTGTTTCTATAGCGTAAACAAAGATATTTTCCGAAATATCCTATCAGCAATTGGCTCTATATTTGGGAGCGCAGGATAGTTGAAACATTTCTTGTCAGACCATATTTGCCACGCATAGGTGTACGAAGTATCTTACTAAAAGTTCAATATAGAGTTTGTCATGCTGTGTCAATTTTCTTAGGTCTTATTTGATTTTCCTTTTGTCTTAAAAGTTAGGAAAGCTACTCACGTGCGCTCAAGATCTGAGGAAAAGTGCCAACTTGGATTTGTCACTATCAGCTGCCTGTACGTTGTTTGTCTGCAACAAATGGGATTTGGTTGAGGACAACGAACGCGAAGAGGTGAAAAGGGATACGGTCAAAAGGCTTACAAGAATACTTGGTAACTTCAATCCGAAATCGCAGATTGTCTATTTGTCATGCAAAACCGCGCAGTTAGCTCAGACCTATGGGGTAGTGACAGAGGATTTCAGCAACCTAAT